TCAATCTCTCCCAGAAGTCTTCTACTCTCTTGCAGAGCCCATTTTGACTCCTTGGTTTTCTTCAGACTTTGCAGTGTGAGGCAAGTTGACAGATGATTAGAGTGTAAGTGGAGGAAAACTCTTTACAAATAGGAGTGAACACAGGTATCTTTGTCTCTTCTGTGGTTGTTGCAATGGCAGCAAAGGAGCAGTACTTCACGGACACCTTGTGTTTTTGCAAAGCTTCCAGTGGAGCCGTTATGTGTGATAAAGCAGCTCCTGCATCTGTCTCCTGACAATGCCAGTTTGGCTCAGTTAAAGGACTTTTCTAACCTATTTTCCAGATATTTCATAGATAAAATCACTTATATTTACCATTATTTAGACACCACATTTAGCAGGTCAGTATCCAGATGTTAACCATCTAGTTGTGGTTGCTTGGATGCATTTCATTTGTTGCAGACCAGAGACATAGGCAATTTGCTTGGAAGAATGGTGCATTCATATGCTTGACTTCTGCCCGGTCAAGCTTACAAACATCAAGCCAGAGTGGACCACCTGATTGGATCCAAAGGAAGGGATTGTTCTTAGCATCTCTAGAGGAAAGAGGTGGTGAGACTCCTCTTGAAGAAGCCTCCTTGAACCCTAATGATATAAATAACTACAGACTGGCAGATACCAACCCCATTGGGGGCAAAATGCATTAGTGTATATGTAGCTCAGCAGCTCTGGACTTTTGTGGATAATGGATTATCTAGACCTGCCTTCACACCTGGTTTTAGAACTGAAACTGCTTTATTCAGCCTAACAGATAAGTTTGTCTGAACTGGGAATTACAATCCTGTTGATGCTACTTGGTGACCTTCAATTCTGTATACTATGGTGTTCTATGGTGTCCGTCTGGCTGAGATGGGAACTAGAGACAATGCACTGCAGTGGTTCTGATTTTATCTTGTTGACCGTCATTAATATTGATGTGATTTTAGCTTTGTAACCTGCCTTGGAGTCTGCCTGATGAGCACTTTTGTGGGATATCATTTCAATAAATAAATAAAAGTGCTGAAAGAAACAGAAGGCAGGTGGGGGGGGGCAGGGTTAAAACCCTAGAAACCCCTCCTCCTACTTTAGATATGAACGGATGGACAGATGCATAAATACGTGTGGATCCCTCGTCACAACTGACTTGGACCTAAAATAGCACAATTTTATTGAGCTCCTTGGGAGGAAGGTAGCATGCAGATGTGTTTAACTGACCACTAAATCCTTGAAGAAAAGTTTGAGCATATGGATAAGATTCACCAGTGGTTGAAATAGCTATCAGTGATAATGTGTCTTCTTCACCCAAAGAGTGATTAACACTTGGAATTCACTGCCACAGGAAGTGGTGGCGGTTACAAGCACGTGGCTATTAGCCACAAGGTATAGATAGGGACTCTGGGGCAAGTGATGCTCTGTCATCTTGGTGCTTGGGGGGGTCAGCAGTGGGATGGCTTCTAATGTCCTGGCCCCACTGGTGGACCTCCTGATGGCACCTGGTATTTCTGGCCACTGTGTGATACAGAGTGTTGGACTGGATGGGCCTTTGGCCTGATCCAACATTGGCATCTCTTATGTTCTTATGTTCTTAATGTGTCATCTTAAGAAATGTAGTTGACAGGGTTGCCAACTCCAGTTTGATAACTTCCTGGAGATTTGGGGGATGGAGTCTGCAGAGGGCAGGGTCTGAAGAAGGAAGGGACCTCAGCAGGCTATAATTCAATAGAGTCCACCCTCCAAAGCAGCCATTTTCTCCAGGGGAATTGATCTCTATTGTCTGGAGAGCAGGTGTAATTCTGGGAGATCTCCAGACTAGGGTTGCCAGCCCCCAGGTGGGAGTGGGGGATCCCCCGATTTCGCAGACTCCAGCCTGCCGGCAGCCAGCTAGCTGGCAAGGGAAGCCCCATCCCAAACATCCATGGCTGAGCGCGACGTCCCTGGTGTGATGATGTCACACAGAGGTGACATCACCATGCCGGGGATGTCGTGCAGCGATGCTCTGGTATTTGGGGCAAAACTCTATGGTAAGAGTTTTGCCCAAAATACCAAAGCATTGCCGCACAATGTCCCCGGCATGATGACATCACTCTCATGTGATGCCATCACACCACGGATGTCACGCATGACAACATCGCTTTGCCTCCCCAACTCCTGGGACGCTCCCTCCCACCCCCCGCTGGCAGAAGAAAAGGACCTGGCAACCCTACTCCAGAGCTCACCTGGAGGTTGGCAAGCCCAGTAGTGGAGTGGAACAGGAATGGCTGAAGAGACATGTGGCTAAGTGAACATTTCAGTTTCTTATATCTTTCTCAGGAACTACTGAAGTGTTCTGGGCTAAATTCTATCACTCTTTTCCACTGGCAGGGGCACATTTCTCCAGCCCAAGATGCTTTGCACCAGTGTGAGAAGAGGCTCTTCCATAGGCCAGACATGCTTTGCACAAAGGAGCATGCCAGACCATGTAATGAATTGTTGGGCTCTAACCCACTCTCAGCTCTGAGAGTCTTGTTTCCAGCAGCTCCTTACTGCTGATTTATGTTTGCTTAGTCATTTTGGTTAATTATCTCTGACAATGCATGGGGGGGAAAGGAGTCTTGTATACAGAGGCAGGAGCGAACTGTTCCATCTTTACGTTCAAATTGAGCAGAAAACCACACATTAGGTACCATAGGTTGCTATCATAGCAAGTGCAAAGCAAAAGGAATAACCTTCTTGAAAGCAACTAAAATTCAGAACACAGCTTTGAGAGGACATTGCACAGCACTGTGTAACCCTTCCTAATAGACTGAAAGGACACTTGTGAAATCTGCCTTACCACGTGTATACGGTTGCATTTACACTTTCAGTTCTGTATGTTTCCTCTTAAAACTTGCCCTGCCTTGTTTTTGTGGTCCTCCCCTCATTCCATCAGTTCATTTCAGGTTTCTTCAGTGTTTCAGTAGGAGAGCGCCGAAATTCTAACCAACCCATCGGCTGACTTCGGATAAGAAACCTGTAAGAACTAAAAAACAAAAGGTAGCCCAAAAGTTTCTATAATGTGCTTTAACAGTGGTCAAACTGAAACCTAAGACAGAAGCCTATTTTGAGCATAGAGGTTTATGATTCTGCAGGCCTTCATGGAAGTCCTTCACTTCTCTTCCTTTGTTAGCAAGTAGTAATTTGTTGGAAACAGCAGGTTCAACTGCTGCTTCAGGACAGCTGCAGAGGTATGATTATCTAATTTCAGAGTTCTAATTTTGCCACTGGAAGGAACAAAGTTCAGTGCCTGAAATTTATTCCCACATTCTCCCATGTGTATGGTTTCTAGGGATGCCAGCCTCCATTTGGGACCTGGGGATCCCCCAGAATAAATTACAGCTCATCTCCACACTACAGAGATCAGTTTCCTTGGAGAAAATAGAGGCTTGGGAAGGTGGACTCTGTGGCATTGTACCCCACTGAGGTCCCTGTCCTCCCCAGGCTCCATCCCCAAATCTCCAGGAGTTTCCCAGCCTGGATCTGCCCCCCCCCATCCCCTGCCAGTGGCCAAGGGGGATCTGTCAACCCTAACGGTCTCCACAGCTGGGTCACCTCTCTCTGTGTGTGTTTGTCTGTGAACTCAGACTATGGGTACAATCCTGCCAGAGTTAAGTATTTTAAAATTCTACTAGTTACAGTTTTTTTAAAAAATGAAGCACCTTCTTAACTGTCCCAGTAGAATCAATAGGGCTTAAAAGAGCTTGACGAGCCTGGGGTCTGAACTGGCAGAGACTGATCAAGAGAGAGATCTTGGAGTTGTAGTAGATAACTCACTGAAAATGTCGAGACAGTGTGTGACTGCAATAAAGAAGGCCAATGCTATGCTGGGGATTATTAGGAAGGGTATTGAAAACAGATCAGCCAATATAATAATGCCCCTATATAAATCAATGGTGAGACCTCATTTGGAATACTGTGTGCAGTTCTGGTCACCACACCTTAAAAAGGATATTATAGCTTTGGAAAAAGTGCAGAAAAGGGCAACTCGAATGATAAAAGGGTTGGAACACTTTCCCTATGAGGAACGGTTAAGGCGCTTAGGGCTCTTTAGCTTGGAGAAACGACGACTGAGGGGTGACATGATTGAGGTTTATAAGATTATGCATGGGAAAGAGCAGGTAGAGAAAGAGGTACTTTTCTCCCTTTCTCACAATACAAGAACCCGTGGGCACTCCATGAAATTGCTGAGCGGTCGGGTTAGAACGGATAAGAGGAAGTACTTCTTCACCCAAAGAGTGATTAACACTTGGAATTCACTGCCACAGGAAGTGGTGGCGGCTACAAGCATGGACGGCTTCAAGAGGGAATTAGATAAGCATATGGAGCAGAGGTCCATCAGTGGCTATTAGCCACAAGGTATAGATAGGGACTCTGGGGCAAGTGATGCTCTGTCATCTTGGTGCTTGGGGGGGGTCAACAGTGGGAGGGCTTCTAATGTCCTGGCCCCACTGGTGGACCTCCTGATGGCACTGGTATTTCTGGCCACTGTGGGATACAGAGTGTTGGACTGGATGGGCCTTTGGCCTGATCCAACATTGGCATCTCTTATGTTCTTATGTTCTTATGAGCCTTTTGCATGTTCTTGTCTGTGGGGAAAATCCATCCGCTCTCACCAGTAAAGGAAAGTGACTTGATTAACGGCGGGTGTGGCTGTCTCAGGTAAATGGGAGCAGTGTGCCAAAAAAGCACAAAGAGATATGAACAGTCTGTTCTGGCTCTCTAATATGTGATGTTTTGGGGATGTTTCTTGAATTAAATTGGCTGGAGATAAGGCAGAAAGGCCAGGTAATAGAACGCAATTGCTTTTTTAAAAAATTGAAGAAGAAGTGAAGTTAAGCACACAGAGATCTGTAACCTTTAAGAATCCATTAGAAGGACTGAGATGTGCTGAGCTTCTCTCTAAGTGCAGATAACCTGGTTTAATTACATCCTGACTCCCAAACCTTGTTTTTCTCCTCTTTACGCAGATTTTGTTTCCGACTGGTCTCCTTTACATGATGCTTCCATCCATGGGTGTTTGCTCACTCTGAAGAAACTCATCAATCAGGTATTGCTCTGTTTGAGAGATAAACGGTCTGTTTGCCTTATTCATTAGGCCTTTTGCTGAAGGTGCACTCCATTTTGTGTTGTGAAGCCTTGACAGAGAAAACTTGTTGTAAGTTCAGGAAAAAACTGTGGACTGGGGAAGGGGGAAATATCCGTTCAGTTTTGTGGCATCAGTGATAGTACCCAGTTGAGCCATCACATGTTTTCCCCAGGGGCAATCTTAGGGCGCGGTCACATGGACCTCTTACCGCGCTAGTTTTCCTGCAGTTCTTCTATCCGCAACATTTTATATCGCTTGGAGGTGGTCAGATGGTCCCTCTGTCTTCCGCTTCACTCGCGTAAAGTACTGATCACACAGCACGCCGTCCCCACGGCAGCGCGGGTTTTTTTTTTTAACTGCGCTTCGGCGTACATACAAACTAAGAAGACCAAAATAAAAGCTAGCGCCTGTTTGCACATGCGCATAACTTAAACCGGAAACACAAAAAGGGGGGGGGGGTTGCGCGGTCACGGCAGATACCAAAACCGTGGATACAAATCGCGAGATATCAGAAAACACCTGTTCCAACGGGTATCAGAAAACGCGGATAAAAAGAGCGGAAACCGCGGGACTCAGCCCGTTTCAGTGCGGGAGGCGGGTTTTCCAATATGAACAGGAAACTTTAATGCGCGAGGGATCAGCAGCGAAGCCCGCACTAAATGTCCGTGTGACCTGACCCTTAGTCACTCTGAGGCCCTGGGGAAAAGTCCAGGATGGGGCCCCAGAGTTAGTCCCATCCCCTGCCATGGCCACCCTGGGCTCAAGGAAGAGGAAGAGCTTTTGCTCCATGCATGGTGGGCGGTGGGCGTGGGGGGTGTCTGCTGAGCAGGCTGTAGCCTGAGTCTTTGAGGGGATGCATATGCACAGTGGCCATTAACCTGGCCAGCTGCTGCCTGAAACCTGGAGGCGGTAGGCATGTGGCGGCCACAGAGCTTGCTGCTGTCTGAGCCTTGGAGGGGCAGTTGGCCAGCTGCTGGCTGAGCCCGGGAAGGGACAATGAGTTTTCATCCTCTTTCAGTCAGAAACCTTGCTGTTGTTCAACAGACGTTTCTAGAAAATGAACATTAAAACTATTCTAAATGAAAATAACGCAAAATATTAGCTGTTGTCTCTTTTTGGCATTTTCCATTTAATAAAAATGGAACGTTAGCAAAACAGAACAGGTGTGACTAGAGACGTTTGGCCCATTTTATATCATAGTGCACAGTGGAATACATGCAGTTCCTGTCATTCCCAAGGCATAGTGTATTGGAGAACATTTCTTGTTTTTGCAGTGATTACACTGGTCTCCATCCTTTCTCTGGAAGGAGCTTTGAGGGAAACCAAAAGGTGACTTGGTGATCCAAACATCACTTCAGTAGCCTTTGTGCTGCTAGAACACTGATTGTGAGGTTGCCTGATACCAGTGTTAGGTACAAGGCCTTAACAACATCAGCTATTTAGATTTTCAAATTGTTTCCGGAATAAGTCTTTAATTTTAATTTCTATTATTACATAGGGGACCAGTGTGAACCTTCTGACAGCTGATCATGTATCTCCTCTTCATGAAGCGTGTTTAGGGGGACATTCTGCTTGTACCAGTGTCTTATTAAAACATGGGGCCCATGTGAGTATTAACAGATGTCTGTCCTTTGGGGTCATACAGAAACATAAACTCAGTTTATTCTCAGCAAAACAGTCCCTAAAGCACAAAGGCATCTTTTTCATCTTGTACAAAGGTTGGGTAAAGTGCAGTACAACTAGTGTACTCAAAGATCTCAAAAGGTTCACACAATAGAAGTTAATACAGTTGGATTCAAAATAACCTTACAAAATATTATGATGAAACAAGAAGCACCTTGCCAGAGGATGCTTTGATACTCAAGAAAGTGAGCCATGCCAGTCCAATCCCTCTTTCTCAGCACTGCTAGACAATCTTGCTGGAGAAAATTCCCAACTGGGCAATCAATTCATTGGGAATTTTCTCTAGCAAGATTGCCCCAACTGGGCTATCAATTAGATCCCAAATTAAAATGAATATTCTAGAACTGCTTGTATTATCTGTGGTATTGCATTTCACTGAGACCAGCAATTCACTTTCACAAAAAGAGACGCCAGGACTCATCTGCGTGGAAGCCAGGCCGTCAGATCTCAGGTATAAGGGAACAGGTGATTGGTTAGAAGTGAGCAACATCCATTTTGCTTATACAAGGAAGCTCAGTCTCTCAGGGCTGAGCACTAGGGATCGAAGATAACAGTACAAGCACAGACAGCTTCAAGAGGGGATTAGATATGCATATGGAGCAGAGGTCCATCAGTGGCTATTAGCCGCAAGGTATAGGTGGAACTATGTCTGAGGCAGTGAGGCTCTGTATTCTTGGTGCTTGGGGGCTATAGTGGGAGGGCTTCTAGTGTCCTGGCCCCACTGATGGACCTCCTGATGGTGCCTGGGTTTTGGCCACTGTGTGACACAGAGTGTTGGACTGGATAGGCCATTGGCCTGATTCAGCATGGCTTCTCTTATGTTCTTATGTTCTATCCTGTCTTAAATTTAAAACCTGAGTGGTGGCAAATACTGTTTGTTTCATTTACCAAAACTCTTATAAAACATTTTAGGAGGAGTCTTATGGAACCTTAAGAATCTAACAGGTTTAATAAAGTTAAGTTTCTGTTCCCCAGAAGCGTACGCTTCTATAAGCCTGTTGCTTGTTTGCAAAAATTCCCTGACTTCTTCTAGAGTTACAACAGCCATTTTAATTTTCACATAAGACTCTTTCCTGAAATGTTAAATCTTCCAGTCAGATATGCTACAGTTGCCAGCACTTGACCCTAGCTTCAGACATGTTTCTTAACTTGCCAGGACTTTAATTGCTTATTAAAATGGGAACTTTGAAACCACTTAACTTCCAGAATACACAGCTGACTGGATCACAGATTTGCTGTCCCCTGTTTCAACTATATAATTTGTCCAAATAGTACTGCTTATAAAATAGACTTCCATGAAACATTTCAGATTATTAGGCAAAACATCTGGATTTTATGTTGCATAATAGTATTTTCAGACTGGATAATGACAGAACCCTGAGAAAGGCATGCAGCTTAATTATACAGCTCTTCCCATGGCTGTATATAATCTCAGGTCATGACTACCTTCCCACTACATGTTATTAAAAAAAATTCTACTGAAAAAAATAGTCTGTTACATTGCTAGTTCTATCCTTTCAGGTAAACGGAGCTACTGTTGACTGGAACACACCTTTATTCAATGCTTGTGCCAGTGGCAGCACAGAGTGCTTGAACCTATTACTACAGCATGGAGCCAGCCCACATGCAGTGTGTGATTTGGCATCACCTATCCATGAAGCTGCTAAGAGAGGTAAATCTGCCAGTAGATGAACCCTTACTTCATGTTGACAGGAGCGTTGTTGCTGAAATAAGGAAAGAAGATGAATGCATGAAAGTTGTTCCTACTGGATCCTTGGAGTCACTACAGATAAGCATGAGCGTATGTTGCATAAGCGCTTCTTCTTTTCTAAGGCTGGAAAGTATAGGTATCCATTCATACTCTGGACTGTATGTGAATCTTACTTCACATGTTTTCACAGCATCCCTGTAAGCATAACCGGATTTCTTAAGGTCATTGGGTTGGATCCAGTGATTTTTGAGCAGAAATACACGTACTGCAGTTTTTTTGATGCAAGCAGTAGTACAATGTCTGCTGCAGCTCATTGTACTTTGGCGTACTTTATAACAAAATAAGAATATGTATATGGAGCCATGGAATGTACAATAGATGGTTCATGTGATTTCATTTAGTTTGCTTTTGGAATTCCATCAGAAGACCTGCTTTGTACTGTGTTTTGCCCATGTGGAAAAGACAACGGGGATACAATCACTTTCACTAACCACTAGCAGACAGCGAGCGGTAATTTTAGCGCTTCCATTGGGCAAGGACTGTGGTACATGCAAACGTTTTGTGTGGAATGGGGCCCATTTTTTGGTCTTCCTGATCATGTGGTTAGTCTAGCTTCCCTCCATTCAAACCCCACAATCCTATTACTTTTCAAACGAACTATCAGTCCTTACACAATGGGTCTATTATATAGGAATGTCCTGCGAAGAAGGCATGGTGGAGAAAATCTTTTGTATGAAATTCAGTGTGCAAAAACAGTTTCTCTCCATCCCACAAATGGATTTGTGAAAATTGGATGGGCATAGAATTCCATATTGTAGTGCTCATTTATATTTTTATTCATTAAAATATTTATACCCTGTCTTTCCTCTTGGCTCAAGTAAAAGTCAGAGTGAGGAATAGTGAAAGCAGGTGGATGAAACAGAAGCCATTTGAGAAGGCAGAGAGTCTTTGCAACTGCTGAGTACCTGTTTAGTATCTGCCCGGTTTAAACCATTGAGTGGATTTTAATTTTATTTTTAACTGCCCTTTAAAGGCCATATCAAATGTGTGGAGTCCCTTGTGTCCCACGGAGTCAATATAGACCACAACATCAAGCACCTGGGTACCCCACTGTATGTTGCATGTGAGCACCAGCAAGTGGACTGTGCCAAAAAATTACTTGAGTCAGGTAATGAAAACAAAGCTATGTTGTTTCATGTTATGACTGTTCTCTGCGCATGCAGCGCTCTGGCGTTGAAGCATATTTGACTGTTGTCTGGGCATGGCCTAGGAATCTTGGCCAGTCATTTTCAAAACTGGGGCTGTTCAGCTGACTATCTGAAGCCAGATCTGGCCCACAAACCAATTTCATCTGATCCCCAGCAGCCTTTCCAAATTTTTATCAAACCTTAGAAAACATGTTGCTCACCATTTTTTTACCAAATCAGCGGGGCACAACAAATAAGCTTCATTCCCATGCCTGCTACTGAATTGCAATTTAGCATATTGTCTGAATGTAGCTTGTGAGACTCAGACCTGAATAAACCTCACCCCAGTTTCTTTGGGGGTGCTCTCTATTGGGCAGAGTGAGCTTCAGCGAGCTTCATTACTGAGTGGGAGTTGAACATGAGGAATGGATACGAGATCCCTGGACTCAAGGGTCATGGATCTGTCTCATGTGCAAGCAGTCCTTTCCATCCCCAGGATATTTTATTCCTAAGGACATGGGACTCGCATGGTCTGACAGCCACATAGGCAGGATGTCACTCTCCCCATCCTCTTCTGAGAGCAGATGAGTACTGATTCAAGAGGCAGAACTATTTTGTCTTCCTCCCCCTCCCCACTATAGCCTTCTGAAGTGTGTTGCTGCCGCTGCTTCAGGCTAGGAACATAAATCAACTGGAAGCTGGCTTAAAAAAGGTTTAACTGACATGGGCTCCTGCAAAAATCCCTGGCCATGGTTCTGTACTGTGGAACTATGAGGGGAATTTTTTGTTCGCATCCCTTAATTCCTTCACCCAATTACAGTTCACAAAATCCCTTGGCTACAAGCTTTGGTATATTAACAAGCTTGAAGCCACTTTAAATTAAATTAAAAATAATTGAAGTATTACCTTATGAAGTGAACATAAGAACATAAGAGAATCCAATGTAGGATCAGGCCAATGGCCCATCCAGTCCAACACTCTGTCACACAGTGGCCAAAAATACCAGGGGCCATCAGGAGGTCCACCAGTGGGGCCAGGACACTAGAAGCCCTCCCACTGTTGGCCCCCTCAAGCACCAAGAATACAGTGCATCACTTGCCTCAGCCCGAGAGTTCCTATCTATACCTTGTGGCTAATAGCCACTGATGGACTTCTTCTGCTCCATATGCTTATCTAATTCCCTCTAGAAGCTGTCCATGCTTGTAGCCGCCACCACCTCCTGTGGCAGTGAACTCCATGTGTTAATCACTCTTTGGGTGAAGAAGTAATTCCTTTTATCTGTTCTAACCCAACCACTCAGCAATTTCATTGAGTGCCCACAAGTTCTTGTATTGTGAGAAAGGGAGAAAAGTACTTCTTCCCCGACCTGCTTTTCCCAGGTGTAATCTTATAAACCTCAATCATGTCACCCCTTAGCCATCGTTTCTCCAAGCTAAAGAGCCCTAAGTGCTTTAACCTTTCCTCATAGGGAAAGTGTTCCAACCCTTTTATCATTCGAGTTGCCCTTTTCTGCACTTTTTCCAATGCTATAATATCCTTTTTGAGGTGTGGTGACCAGAACTATACACAGTACTCCAAATGAGGTCACACAATCGATTTATACAGGGGCATTATGATACTGGCTGATTTGTTTTCAATACCCTTCCTAATAATCCCCAGCATAGCATTGGCCTTTTTTATTGCAGTCGCACACTGTCTCAACATTTTAAGTGAGTTACATACTATGACTCCAAGATCTCTCTCTTGGTCAGTCTCTGCCAGTTCGGACCCCATCAATGTGTATTTATATTTAGGATTTTGGCTCCAATGTGCATCACCTTGCACTTGGCCACATTGAACCCCATTTGCCATGTTGACGCCCACTTGCCCATCCTTGACAGATCCCTTTGGAGTGCCTCACAATCCTCCCTGGTTCTCACCACCCTGAACAACTTCGTGTCATCTGCAAATTTAGCCACTTCACTGCTTACTCCCAACTCCAAATAATTAATAAACAAGTTAAAAATTATCGGACCCAGTACTGATCCCTGTGGTACCCCACTGCTTACTACCCTCCACTGGGAAAATTTCCCATTTATACTCACTCTCTGTTTCCTATTAATTAGCCAGTTTTTGATCCACAAGAGGACTTGTCCTTTTATCCCGTGACTATTGAGCTTACTTAGGAGCCTTTGATGAGGAACTTTCTCAAAAGCTTTCTGGAAGTCAAGGTAAACGATATCTATTGGGTCCCCCTTGTCCATATGTTTGTTCACCCCCCTCAAAGAACACTAACAGGTTATTGAGACAAGACCCTTACAGAACCCATGCTGAGTCTGCCTCAATAGTTTTTGTTCATCAATGTGCTTACTAATTCTTTCCTTAATAACAGTTTCCACCAATTTACCCGGTATCGACGTCAGACTGACTGGCCTGTAATTTCCCGGATCTCCTCTGGAACCCTTTTTAAAGATGGGAGTGACATTAGCTACCTTCCAGTCCTCAGGAATGGAGGCAGATTTTAAGGAAAGATTACATATTTTTGTCTGGAGATCCACAAGTTCACATCTGAGTTCTTTCAGAACTCTCGGATGTATGCCATCCGGGCCTGGTGATTGTGTGATCCATCAGTTGATCAAGATTGTTCAAGTGGACTGCAAGAGGCCTCTAGCTGTTTTTTGTTTTTACTATTTTTCCTTCTTTTTTTTGCTTTTTCCAGGAGCAAGTGCAAATGATGGGAAAGGTCTGGAATCCCCGCTTCACGTGGCTGTTCAGAATGCCAGTGCTGAGCTGGTGCATTTGCTCATTGACTTTGGAGCTGACACGAGTGCTTTGAATGCTGAAGGCAAAAAGCCAACAGAGCTGGTTCCACCAAACAGTACATTAACACAGATATTTCAGCAGAGAGAAGGTGCCCATTAACCCCTCTTTTACCCCTGAATCAAAGTATGTAAAGGAGCAGAAGCAGATATATACGATCATTAGTGTACATTATAGAGTATACTAAAGTCTATGAGGTTTCTCCCCCTAAAACACTAGTGTACATGTCAAAGATTTGCTATATAACTCTGTTACACTATTATAGATTATTTTAAGCCAGCACTGTTTTAGTGGTGTGGAAATATTTCATATCAGAAGCTTAAATAAAGGACTCTGTGTAGCCTACCTGTTGGTATTTGTTTGTTGTTGTTATCTTATGAAATACTTTGCAGGCCACGAACACAAACCTCAATGGAGAAAATTTTTTAAAAGCTCTGTTAGCCATCTTTTGTTATGAGGCATTTAAAATACTTCGCATTCATCTCACAGTTTGCAGGAGAAAATATAATATAGCTGCTAATCAGAGCTGTTCGGGGGTTATGAATCCTGGTGCCCAATTCGGTGTCAACGATAATGAGTTTTTGAACTTCATGATTGCAGTTTTGGGTTCATTGTTTACAGCGCATATTATGTATCCAAGTAAAGCCATACAGGCAAATAGCTATTACTTGTGTCTCCTCATAGTGTTTTTTGGTATACAGTTAGGGAATGGGAGGACATGGAGGCACATTTAGAATTGTTGAGCTAATGTATGGTCGACACTTTGGACGCTTGTTTGTTTAAACATTCATACCCCACCTTTCCTTATGGTTCAAGGAGGCTTGAAATCTGATGTAGAAATGCTAAGTGTGATTATTATAAAATCCTTTGAGAAGATTTGGAGCATGTGGTGTGCTCACATGAGGATTCTTTCTGTCGTGTACCATGGCTGCCAGGAAGTTCCCCCCTGGTCACACTGGACAAGTGTCCCTGAGGCAGAGTTTGGCCTTCCCCAGGGACCTGTGACTAGATGGTTAATCGGTTCTATTCATTTCCACATCTGCTTTATATCAGAGTGGGGGGGACGGGGGACTGCATGCTCTAATGAGGGGAGAATCCTTGCGTGATAACAAACATGCAGACAGACCTACCTTCATTCGAGAGGAGATTCCCATTCAGCAGTGGCTTTCACATGCCATTAATTGCTTTGCTTAGCCCAGTTTTCTCTCCTGCAATAATCTGATTTGACCTTCAACGATACCCATGGAGTATGAAGGTCAGTCATAAGAATTTCCAAGCCTGGTGTGCCTTCAAGCTTTCAGGTGCCCCGAGAGAGCCGAAAACTCAAAGCTACATTGTTTAAAGGCAGCTGCTTTGGGCTGCAGAAAACAAAAGCTGACCTTGTTGCCCAGCTGTGGGAAACTGATCTTAAGGCAATAATATCTTTTTTGTTTCTTTGGCATGTTTCCTCCAGGGCCCTTGTCCTTGATGCAGTTGTGCCGCTTGTGCATAAGGAGGTGCTTGGGATCCAGACAGCAAGATGGAATAAGTCAGCTTCTGCTACCAGATGAGCTGAAGCGCTTTCTCTTGTATCTTTAAACCTTTCATATTCCCTGCTGTATTATTAAAGCATTGTTTCTTATGCATGTGTGTCTGTCCCATTTACAGTGCAAGTACAAATCCAGGGGTTAGCATTATTAAGCCTCTGTCTTCTTTTTTATTTTGTGTATAGATCATGTTCCGGTTGCTTGAGAGAGACAGAATTTAGGAGAACTTCATCTGTGTACAATTGTTCATCTAGGATACACTGCTTTAAAGTGTGGCATTGGAGACACCTTCTGTGCTGTCAGAGAGTAACACACATATAAAAAGCCACTTGAAGTATTAAATTTAAACCGGGGTCAATAGGCTCATTTGGCACTAGGAATTTGAAAGAACCTAAGAAGTTCTTTTTTTGAACTCTCTTTTGGCAGAGGCAGCCCTTCTGAATTAAGACTGCGTTCGCAGTGGAAACAGCCATGAATCACAGGTGCAACCACACAAATGTGGTTATTGAGTCGGATATAGTCACAAGAGACTCATTTACAGTCCCACAGGTTGCTGTAATCAGCCTTAAAGCGGCTGTGTGGCCCTAAAGCCTTCTGTGGATGCAATCCCTCTGGAGACTTTCTTCCTTATGGTATTGACACTTGTAAAACCCTTGTCCTTCAAATGATTGTTTTCTTAGCTTGTTTCCATGTGTTTGCTTTCTGATTAAAGGGCTCTCTTAGATTATTCTCATACTATCTTCCATCCGTAGTAAATGCATAACCTCTGCTAAAGTGAACTGCATTCATGGTGACTTCATGATGTAGGGACAGGAACTGTGCTTGACCATACATGTGGTTACAGTGTTTGGGGATACACATTTTCCATCTTGTAGAAAGGAAAGTCTGACATGTTTGCTTGGAAGACGCATCAGTGGAACAGTGGTCCCACATAAAATGCTACTCATGTTGCTTTAGTTTGAAACACATGTGAGTGAGATTCTGGCAGAGGACTAGTGTAAGTTGCAAAGAGAGAACTTAGCTCTTCTTTAGCCGTGCTCTGAGCCTGCCTTCAAACTGGATACTGAGACCTACCAGCAAATGGAACACAGTCTTCCC